TGGTAGTCAATAGGGTTACAAGAAAAACAATCCCTGGATGCTAAAAATTCAGAGTAAGTATGTAATACAATATCCTTTCTAAAACAACTGTTACTTGCAGTATGTCTCAGAAGGCAGCTCTCACTAAAATTTTAGAGTAGTGACCTACACTGTAAGAAGTGAGTCACTTATACTGCCCTGGCTGGTGTGGCTCAGTGGATAGAGCATGGGCCAGCAAGCCAAAGGGCAGCTGGTTCCATTCCCAGTCAGAGCACATGCCTGGGTTGCAAACCCAAGTCATGCCTCCAATAGGGGGCGTGTGAGAGTAAGTACTCATTGATGTTTCTCTCCCTCTCTTTCTCCTTCCCTTCCCTCCTCTCTAAAAATAAATATTTTTTTAAGAAAAGAAGTCACTTGGAAAACACTTAAAGCTCACCCTTGATAAAGATTCAGAAAAATTTTATTCAAATAAATGACTAAACTATGTCAAAACCCGTCATAAAATTAAAAATCTCAAGTTTCATAAAATTAGGAAAGTATATGGTTTCAAGACTTGACAGGCAATTTTAGATAAAAGTATAAAAGGTAATCAAAAGTACATTAATGGTTTGAAGGATTTGGGATTTCAGTTCTTGGCACACAAAATTATCAGTCATTCCATTACTGATTTAAGGGTTACTTGATTTCATGTTAATAATTATGATTAATTAAGTACTGTACCTTTTGAAAAACATACAGTACTTCTTGTCAGTTTTTATGAAGAGCTTAATAGGTTACAGAATATACTACAGCAATATATTATTTACTCACTCATTTTTAAGGAGTAAATTACAAAATGTCAAAACACTCCTTTTTAGCAGGCTTCTCTTCAATAATTTCCAAATAATAGGTAGTAAGCCATAAGTTTTATTCCTTAACTATATAAATATAAAATGAACATCAGAGTTGTTGAATCACTAAGTTATATATGTAAAAATATATGTAAGCCTAAGTGATTTAAACAAGATAATAAATACACATGAATACATAGGTAATTGCCCAGCTTTTTCCAATTCCTATGGATGCTGTAGCTAAATACAAGAAAAGATGTGATCTTTTTTGCTTGCTTTTAAGTTTTACTTCTAAATTATATTTGTTTAGGATGCAAAAAGATTTATATGTGCAATACGTATTTTAGCCTCCAAACTAATACTATAAAGTAACTTAGTAAAGTATAAGTGAAATTGAGACTCCCCTCTTCAAATCCACATTTTCAAAATAATCACCAACATTCTAAGTTACTCTATGGAATTGCCAAATCCTGAAATGCATTCTGTATCATGAAAGGAAAAGTCAACTAGGTTTCATACAATTACACAGTTGATTTCACCATACACTTATCTGAAGTAAATTTAACAAATGTCTAAAAAGAATTGATTGGGCTATATACTTAAAATAATAATATAAAGTACAAACACAGCAAGTCAATAAATGAACTTAAAAACTCAATTATTCAATACATCATGGTAGAATTTTAAAATGATGAATAGCAAACTGGCTGACTTTAACGTGCAGTACACTAAATGCTAATATGTGAATGTTTGCTATATTGCATGCACTCTGCTAAGTGTTTTATTTCATTTTTTCATTTAATCCTCACAAGAACTCTACAGGCAAGGTGATATTATTCTTTTTTAAAAGATGAAAAACCTTAGGGTGACTGAGGTTAAATAATTTGCCAATCACACATCTAGTAAGTAGCAATCTTTTTTCAGAATCAAATTATGTAGTATCTAAACCATAAACTGAAGGAGAGGGAGGGAGAAAGAAGTAGGAGAGAGAGAGAGAGAGAGAGAGAGAGAGAGAGAGAGCGCGCAAACCTATACCATATACCACAATGTCTAATCTCAATAAGAAGATCTTACTCAACTTATCCTTTTAAAGTAGGTTTTTGGTCTTTTTTTCCCCTCAGTTTACATTCATATGTCATTACCTAATTGGTTAGGTACCCCTCTTCTGGGCATAGTATCTCATGCAGAACTCCCTCATAAACTCCAAACTGTCCTGTAGTCATCTATTCCCCTCATGCCTACCACAATGTTATAGGATACTTTAAGCCAGGATTCTGCTTTATTCGTGTTCTGTATCCCCAAGTACCTATCAACTGCCAGGAATATAAAAAGTACTGAAAGTGCTCTTAAAGGTTCAATATCACATTAGATCTTTTCTATAATCTTCTAAACATCCATCTTAAGCAATAAATCTTACTGAAATTGGAAGTACTAAAATCCTACATTCAAACAGGAACTTACTAAGGTCAAAGAATCTAGCTTCTCTTTCATTATACTATATCCCTGATAATATTCTCTACATCAAGAAAAATGATGGAAAGAAAAGTGAAATAAAGCTAATCACTTATGAATTGATCATAAAGAAATATGGAATTACAGAATTAAATAAATGAGGTTTATCAAGTCAGATGGTATTGTAAATCTAGTCTCTTTAACCTTCATACCTAGCTATTTGTTAGGCTTAAAAATTATATATCAGAACCTGGCAGTTTGTCACCTGTAAATTCTTCAAGTAAAACTGCTAATGTCTATTCCCAAACAGCAAATTTGATGTAAATTTTTATAGTTTTCAAAAATCAAGTCTACCACTTGCAATTTTTTTTAGCAGTTAAATTAACATGATATGAAAATTACCTGTGGTAATAGATGATACTGCAGAAGTTGATCACAGTTAAGACTATGCTAAATGTAAGCCACATATCAAAAGCACTGGCAAAAAATACTGTATATTACTTCAAAAGGAAAGTATTCTATTAACAAATCATCATATAGACATTTCTAATAAGCCTAAAAATCTTTTCAACTCTAAAACTGACTACTCACACATTAGTACACGTCAAAACTTGTAAGCTGTACTATGAATGTTAGATCAACAAACACGTTACATGAAGAAAATTCTGTTTCCATACATACTAAGCATCCATAAGTCACAAGTGTACCTAACTTATAGACTGAATTTAAAATAGAAAAAGGTTGATGGAAAAAACTCATCATAAGGGTTCACAAACTAGGGTGTTATAACACTATAAACCAAAAAAGGAAGCTGTTAAAATGAGCAGTGCACAGTAACACAAAGCTACTGCCTGCCCTCTACCACTACAGAGTTGACTAAAAACTTCAATTTACACCTCCTCTAAATCACAGTCCATTTGCCTGAATTGTTAGGTCTCTAGAACATCAAGTCCCTTCTATAGTACATTATCAAGGAGATTTTTAAAAACTCTTCTTCAAAAAGCAATCAACACTTCACTTGCACAACTGTGAAATTATTACCCAAATTTTATTTCCTTGTATTAGCTGTACGTATTACCTAACTTCAGACTTCCATAAGGCTTTTGCTCAGCTACTTAAACCTTTATTGGAGATACAAAAAATTTTCTCTCAGTCCTTAACACGACCTAGGTCAAGACAGTAAAACTCTTTTAACACTTTTTCCCCACCCAACTGTAATCAACAATCTTCCTTAATGGAAAGAACAGTACACAAATTCAATTTAGAATCGTGCATCAATTCAAAGAAATAATAAACATTAAGAATTTTGTGGTGGAACCAAACATCTGGGGAGTGGGGCTACCAAAAACACACACACACTGTAGATTAAACAACATGCCGTTTATCATCGTGTGCTTTGTAAATCAGAAACTTTCATTGCAATGCTTGAAACGTAGTGGTGAACTGCAGCCTATAAGGGGCACTCAATCTCTTGAAATCTTTGCCTCTCTCATAACCAACCACCTTGACACACCTACCCCAAACAGTAGTCGCTTCTACACCACTGTCCAAGAAATCTGCACACATCTTTCCTTTTAAGGAATACTGGTAAAACTTCGGGTATCTTTCAAGATTTCATTACACAATGAGATCCAACAGTAGCCCTAAATACCAGTAAAAAAGTCTTGGTAACCACTCTTTAAACAAACGTAAATTTTGCTTCTCCACCTTCCTCATCAAGTAAGAAGCTTCGAATGAATAAGGTCCTGCAATGTTTCAGAATTTTCAAAGGACAGATAAAGCTATTCCCCAAAGGCTGGTAGCCTTATTTTGCCAAATCATCGCCTTCTATTAATGACCACTTTCGTCCATCTTTCATATATGAACGATATTTTTCATCCTGTCCTTAACAAGTAGATTTTTCAATTCCAACACGTAGGAACAGAACTTACTAGCTCCCAAATGTGACAGGAAAACTGCACCATAAATACCAGGGAAGAGACGAGGAAGAGCCATGTGGTTTGTGGTGATCAGAAGAGCTGGGCACAGTCGACGCTATCAAATATGTAATACATAAATCAAACAGTGCTTGCAAAAATAAAGACTCGCAGTGGGGTGCGAGAGACGTCCCACAAAGGAAGGCAGCGACAGACAGGCTCAATACAAAGCCATCCAGAAGCAGCCAGAGCAGAACCTGGACGGAGGAGCTAAAAAAACTGACTGTAGGGGATGCTGCAGGGTGGGCTAATATGGTGCCTTCTCCAGGGCGGACCCGAAGACTTCATTCCGTCGGACTCTGGTCCCTAAAGGTATCTAGGCTCACAGTTCAAGTTTCACCGGGGAAAAAGGAGGCGACAAACGTGCTTCCCGGCACCCCAGACCCAGCCCTTCAGCCCGTGCTCCTGGCTTCCGGCTCGAAATAGCGAAGAAGTAACGGTCTCCAGGGCACACTCGGAGGAGTCCGGGCAGAAAAGGAGCACTGGCGAACCCCGGCCGTCAGCGCGGCGAGCTGTGCGGCCGTGGAGGAGGAGAACGAGCAGCGGGAGTCGCACTCGCTGTCCCGGCCCTGGCCCTGCCCGGTCCTCGCACCGGGCGCGGGGAAAAGTTTCGAACAAAAGTGTTCAGCGCCCGCTCGCGCAGCCAACCGCCGGACACAACCGCCTAGCCGCTGGGAAAAGCGGCCCGCGCCTGCCCGGCCACCGTGCTCGGACCCTCGGTCGCGCCACCCTCAGCCCACGCTGGCCGCCGAAGTTCACCTACCACACAGCCGGGAGAAGAGAAGCAGCGGGAAGAGCAGGAGCAGCAGCGGCGGTGGCGTCGGGGGTGGCAGCAGGAGACAGGATCCGGGGGGAGAAGCGGAGGAAAGTTGTGCTTTGCCGCCTACGGGACACAGCGGAGCCGGTCCCGGGGTCCGCGCCATTCCCCACCCTCCCCCCGGCCCGCTTGCTCCCTCGCCGGCCCCCACCGGCTCCCTTGGACCCGGCGCCTCGGGCTCCGGGCGGCGGCAGTATCGGCCGCAGCACGGCGGCGGCGGAAGGACCAGCGCGCGCGTCCCTAACTCCTAGTTCTTGAACCTCCGCCGCCGGCTGATAGTGAGCGGAGCGCTAGCGGCTGCTTCGGCACCGCCGTCGCCGACGCCACTGCCGAAGCTGAGGCGGGAGCCGCCCGCCGCTGCCGCCGCCGCCGCCGCCACTCCCCTCCCCCCCGGCTCCCGCCCGCCTGGAACCCCTGGGAACTCGGAACGCACCACCCCGCCCTGTGCGGGAGGGGGGAGAGGAAGCCGACCCTCAGAGCGGGCGCAGGAACTCGCCCGCCCCACGCCAACTCTGCTCCCGTCTGATCCCAGACTGCCTGCCGCGTCTCCTCCCACCCCGCTCCTCTACCAAGCTCCGCCCCCTTCACGCACACACACAAAAATCTCTTCTCTCCGCTTTGATAACGGGGTTTCTCCCAAAGCAGGGCTCTAAAAAGGACAAAAAAAAATCTGGAATAGATTAGTAGGCTCCGCCCCTCGTTCCAGCAACCTACCCCCCCTTCCAAGCGTTTCCAATGGTCTCTCCCACTCCGCCCCTCTTGGGTCCAACGCTGCCCTGGCACAGATGGAGGCGGAGGGCGGTGGCGGGACACTCAGGCTCGTGGCTGGCCTCACCCAGGGAGTGCTTTCCTTCTGGCGGGGACTCGGGACTGGGAGGGTGTTGGAAGGGGAAGGCAAGATGGGGTTACCCTTCCGTTGCCTACTTAGGAAGCTGGACGCAGCCTGCTGGACTAGTCATCTATCTCCTCGCCACGGGCGCAAGGGGCTGAAAGACTTTGTCCTCCTTCCTGCTTCCCGGGACAGATTTGCTCTCCGAATTTCTCCCTTCTTTCCAGCCCCGCTTCCCCCCAGCCCGCTGAGGCACGTTTGCACGGGCATTTTCCTTGCTTCTTTCACTGGGCGGTCGGCTCGATGGAAGGGTCAGCGTGGCCGGGCGAGGAGAGGGACCCCAGAAGATTTGCTTTCCCTCTCTTGCTTCTCCCGGCTGCCGGGCTGTCATCTGTCCTCGCCTGGCGACTGGCAACAGGAGGCCATGGATTTCCCCCTTCGGAGCGCCTCTAGTGCGGTGGTGTTTTTCTTTAGTTTTGTTTCATTTGCATGTTCGCACGTGTAATTTTATTCTCATTACTTGCTTTCCTTTTAACTTATTGCGGGAAAGCTACCTTAGGAAGTGTTAAACCTTTGTCCTTAGGAAGAGCGTCTGTGGTCCACCAGACCCTCCCTCACCCCAGAAGGGTTGCTCGCCCTGCCCTCTTCATCCGCGCGCCTCGCACAGTTCTAGTGGCCTGACCTTGGAGGCAGAGCCACCGGCGGTTCTTCCGGGGTGGTGGGCAATTTGATCTGTCCTGAAGGGGACTGAAGGCAAAGGACACAGGTCCTCAAGTCCTATCACCATTAATTTTACGTTAGATCTTGCCGTCTCCACCAATAGGCACAGGCACGCTCCAATGAGAAAGTCGGATTAGGATTTAGCCGCCTGTTTCAGCTAAACTAAATGATTGCCTGCTGCCAAGATCACACTGTCATTTCCCTTCAATCACTAGGGTCTCCCCCCCTCCACCCACTGTTTTACGCGCCTACATACCATTCTACCCTTCTGCCCACGTATTTTTTTTAACTTCACTTGCCACCCTAGTTCTTAGTTTAGAACCTCTCTTCCTCCGTCACCTTTTCTCTCTTCCACTCTACCCCTGCCTGTCTCTGCCATTCTCCTGAAGCCTGTCTCCGGTAGCCACTCCTTTCCATCACCTATTCTCAGGGTGCACTTATGACTAAACCTTGCCCTGCGTACGCTCCAAGAAATCCTCTGATGATGATGATCATAATTGACGAAATGTAGCTATTGTGACATTCTTAAGTTCTGCTGACACCACCTTTTCCCTTGAGAAATTTTATTTTTCTTTTTTTGTGTTCCCCAAACCTACTTTCACTGCTAAATTTAGAGTCAACTGCTCAGCGACTAGCTAATTATTTGTTAAGATAGCCACTTTATTAATACATTGTTGATACTCAGTTAAATATTAACCAAAAATGTAATGTCGCTAGCCAATTTCATCCTCTCCCTAAGCCCCCAGCCATTCCTTAATGGTTCTAGTCTCCAGAAAAAGTAATTTAGCCAACATTTGAAAAGGTGCCAAAGGCTTAATATGGGGGCTACTGTTTGATTGCCATGGAGACCACGAGGGATTAACTGGTTTAGTGCTTCTCAAAAGGATGATGCGGAGATTTAAGAAATTTATATCCTCCATATTTTGAGAAATGGATTAGTGGCATGCTATGATTATATTCTCCTCTGACCTAAAGAGAAGAGAGAGCTTGGAAGAGTAGTATTTATAGATGTTATATAAGCATTAAAAGAGCGCTGTGCTAGTGTTTTATGTGCATACAAGCATTATGTTATAATAATAATTTGTGTTGATATAGCATCTTCAGCCAGAGATGTCAAAGCACACTTTTCTCACAAAAGGTAGCAATTACTATTATTCCTATTTGACAGCTGGAGGAACCTAGGAACAGAGGTTAAGTGCAAAAACTACTGTCCATGTGGTGGTTTTTCTGCCAGAACCAAGTTTTTGCCTTCCATTGAGCCCCACTAACCTCTCGAGATTCTTAAGTTAAAAACAAATTTGCTGAGGTAACTCGAATTTCTACTTCCTAAATGTCCAGTCTCAAATTACATTCTCCTCAAGTAAAGATATACCCACCCCAAGCTTTCCTGTTGGAAATTATCATTAGCTACAGAAAAAGATTTTACATTATGTTGTATAGCTTTTTTTCAAGGACTAGAATTACCAATTTTATAAAAACCTTTAATATGAGAACATTACTTGGTTTTACACCATTTTTAATTGTCTACCTTTAAAGACAAGTTTACCTTTATTGTTTGAAGGACAAACTGGTTGAAGGAATACTTAATTATAGCTAACTTATTAATATTTGTGGTACCATTGAAACCAAAGTGTGCATGTATTTTCTAAGAAAAAAATATCTGAATAAAGAACAACATGATTCTAATGTCAAAAATAATTTCACTTGTTTTGGGTTAAGAATACTGATGATATCCACCCTACTTTCTGCCTCAAAAGACTGTTGACCAATTATTGAGATTCATTAACTCTTAAGTAAAATCCAAAGGTTGACATGTTAACAAAGTAGTAATTATATACAATGCTGGGCATTTTACATTTACTCAAATAATCCAAATTAAAGGTTTAAAATTATTATTAGAATTTCATAGCTGACTCTGAAGCAAAGGGAGTATTTTATAGTATAGGTAGGCCATTATATACTCTAGGTAATTCCACTTACCATCAGCAAATTTTTTATAACCTTCTACATGAAGTATAGCCTTTCCCTATATGAAAGAGATGAGCAGTGCTTTGTGGAATGTTTGAACTTGGCCCTATATTTGATAATAAGTCAATTTTACCTGGCTGTAATCACAGTCTTCTAAAGCAAAACTATGCAAATATTAAAAAAAAAAACTACAAACCCACCAAAAAGTCTACCAATTTACAAATCTTTACCAATGGCATATTTATCAAATGCAACTATTTCCTGCTGAAAAGATCTTTCTACCCCCATAGATTCATACTGTTCACTTCCTCATGTTTCTTGGGGTCTTTGTTTAAATTTCACTGTGTCTTTAAGATCTTCCATGCCCCTCCCACATGAAAGGGCCACCTCATCTCAATCCCTGGCCCCTCTTACTGGCTTTATTTTCTCCAGTGCACTCAGCATTTGACCTGGTGTGTATCTTTATTTATTGTCCGTTTTCCATTTGCTACAATGAAAGTTCCACAAAGATGAGTGGGGGCTTTTTTTTTTCACTGTTGAAACTCAACCATGTAAAACAATATCTGTCATATAAGTCCCAGATTGTATGATTAAATGATAAGTATAGAGACATAGTACACTCAGATGCGTGCCTGGTGGCAGATAAACTCAAAAGAAGAATATTAATGTTTAAGGTCTTAAGTATATGATCATATTGAATTTTTTAAAACTGGAAGATGATTATACTGACTATTGCTTAAGTCTCTTGATTTCATCTATTTTAGTGCTGCTATTAAGCTATTATCTTTCCAGTTCATAGTTACACTTCCATACACTGGGTTTGTGATTTGGAGGCTGTGCTATCAATAATTGTCACTGGAGGGAAGGTGGAAGGCAAGAGTAGAGGAAAAGATACCTGTTCCTTCCTATTGGCTTCCTGTTCCTATCAGTATCACCTCAGCAGTAAAAGCCCTTGACCCTGTCATCAGCTGTTGGTCCCAGCCTCCCACTTGCTGTACACTCTAAGAACCAAAGTCATCGTGACCCCTCAAAGGTACAGCACCAGCCCAGCTGTACCCACTTCTCAGGTCCATTTCCTAGCTCAGCAGAATCCCTTCCCTGGGCTTCTGAGTTCTAATAATCTAACCTTTTCCCTTTGTTCCCACAGCTCTAAAGGCGTTAATAGATTCCTACAGCTCATATCTCTGGATGACCTATGTTACACTTTTTGGTCCGGAGACTCCCATTCAAACCCTGGTGTAACAATACCCTATTATTAAGTTCCACAATAACATAGTATGTTTTCTGTCTTTTTCATCAGACCTTGACTGATGCTCTATTTTTCTGTGACTAGTTCTCAAAACCTTCCCTTGTACTAGTTATTTTCTCTCAGTTAAAGTATTTAAAATCACAGAGCCAACATCAGTTCATCAATTAATGTAAAGAAAAAGAAAAATTAGCAAAATTTGTTCCTTTAATTGGCAGTAATCTGGATTGAGCAGACATGGGTTTGAAATAAGTAAATTTGGAGGAAACTATATAGGTGTTTTAGTCATATATACATATGACTTATTGTTTATGTCCCTCATCTAGATTGTGGTAAAAACTAATAGAAATTTCTAATTTTTGTGATTCATTTTTTACAGTCCCTGAATGCACTTGACAATCATTATGAAGCTAAAAAGATAAGAGGATTATTTGGGGAAAATAATAATTGGACTTGTCTCATAAACTTAGAATGAAAACAAACATATACTGCACATAGCTACGTAAATAAAGTCTAACTCCATTTATAATATATAACTGTTGTAGAGCACTAGGGTTCCAAAGAATATTTGGAACTAATATTTAGGCAGAAAGAAGAGCTATGCCATAGCATTATGACAGGTTAAATAAAAGGTAACTAAAAGCAATAAATGAACAAACAAGACAAACAAAAACTCACAGACACAGACAACTATGGTGATTACCAGGAAGAAAGGAGTGGGAGCAGGGCAGTAGTGGGTAAAGGGAGTGAAATAACATATGGTGACAGAAGTCAAAACTTTGGGTGGTAA